GGGGCTGTGTGCCTGTCCGGGTGCATTGTAGATATCAGGGTGAGAATTGAATAAATGTCAGGAAGAGTGATGGCTCTTGTCAATCTCTGTGTACTTTCCAACACCTTTCCCTACCCATTTCTTCATTTGATCTTGAAACACCCCATCAGGTAAGTAGGGCAGGGGCCATAGCAACCATTTGATAGAGGGGGACACTGAGGCTCTGAGAAGCAAAAGGACTTGCCCAAGGCCACTCAGCTAGTGAGGGTCTTTGCCAGAACTAGAGTGATGTTTTTACATACATGACCCCATTGGGCTGAGAACCAGGCTGCCTCCCAGTATGGAAGTCTCGCAGGTGCCATACAGACCACAGTTCATGGCAGAGATATGGAGGAGGTTCCCCAGAGCTGCACCAGTGTGTGCGGCCATGGAACATAGAAGGCTGGAGCTCTCAGCCCAGAGTTAAGCTTTCCTTCTGTTCCTGGTTCCCTTGGGGCTGAGGTGTTCCTGGATCCTTTGCCAATGGTCAGGCCTGGGGGAACTGGCTCCCAGGACTCAGACCCTTTTCTGGTTTCTTCCAGGACTGTCATGTCCCCAGGGCCTTTGAGTTTCCTCAGAGCTGTACGCGCCCGGGGCCTGAGGCCAGTAGTTGCTCTTCCTGGGGTGGCACAAAACTGGCTATGAGAGAGGGTGATATGCCCTCATCTGAGCCATCTGGCATTAGGAAGATGTGGCCTCTTGCCAAGGAGCTGCTTGGTGGGGAAAGGGTCTAGGCCCCAGCCTGAGGAATCCCGTACAGTAGATTTTTATCCAGCCCCTGGCCACCTCCATGGCCTTCCCCTTCTGCCTGTCTACTCCTAGCTCCCACATCCCAACCATTTCCTGAGCCCACATGGGTGGAGTTTCCTCCACACTCTAGTCCTTTGCTGATGAGAAGAGATGGCCAGAAAGTGGGGCACTCTGACCAGTGACTCTTGAGGCTCAACTGGGGGACAGGGGAACAGAGAGTGGGGAGAATTGTTGCTTACCACCTGGAAAGGGTAAGAAGTCAGTTATTGCAGGAGGTCATAAGACTTGGTGTCCACAGGTGGTAGCTTTGTACCCAGACAACTGAGCCACTGAATGAGGGTCCCTCAGATGGCTGCTGGCTGAGGGCGGGCTTAGCTAGGACTCTGGGGCAGATGTGAACTGAAGGGAAGGCAGGAGTTCTCAGCTCTGGAGGGGGGAGGTTGTGGACATGTGTGTGGGACAGGGGATGAGGCTAAGATTACTGCCCACAGTGTTGTGGGTGACAATGCCAGACATTGAGGAACTTTTTCAAAGATTCAATATTAATCTATTAGACATTTTAGAAGAAGGGAGCAGAAAGAATCTCTTCATTCACTCAACAAATATTTCTTGTGGCTCAGATGAGGGCACACTACCCTCTCTCACAGCCAGTTTTATCCTGCTCCGGAAAGAGCAGCTAGCCCCCAGACCCTCAGGCCCGAGGCCCAGGTGCATGCTCTGGGGAACCTCGGCCGAGGGCCCTGGGTCCTATAAGTCCGTGTTCTTCAAAGGCTTACAGAGAGAAAGACAATGAAGAAAGAAATAAATTAAGAATATAAAATCAGGGACACAAAATAAAATAAAGCAAGCCTAGGGAATAAAGAGAGATGGAAGTGCTGCTTTAGGTGGGATGGTCAAGGAAGGCTTTTGTGGTAAAGTGGTGTTTGAGCAGAGAGCTGAATAAGAGAGGGAAAAATCCATGCAGATATCTAGGGGAAAGGAGAAGAAATAATACAAGAAAGTTTCCCTGAAATATTGAAAGACTTGAGTTCTCAGGTTAAAAAGAAAAAAACAAACATAGAAAAGGGACGAGAGGCTAGAGTCAGACACATCTTGGTGAAATTCTAAGGACAAAGCAAAGACTAATATTCCAAAAAAGGCATTAGGCCAAAATGGTTTTACAGGCAAGGTCATACAATATTTAAACAATACAGTTTATATTCTTTTAAGGTGTTTTTCTCTGCTTGATTATGTAGAAGTAGGGAAGGAATTACTTAGGAGGGGAAGTGTGTTAGAGGTTTTCACAAGTGTGAAACGAAATATTTCTGTATCTTTGCCATATGTGTTTTGAAGAGCACCACTTGTTTTCTCTCTCTCCTCCCTGGCAAGAAATCTCAGTACCAGATTTTCCCCACTGTACTGGAAGAGATTTTTTTCCCTAGATAAGACCTGGGGCAAATGCTGTATCTAGCTGCTCAGGGGGACCGTCATCTAATTAGGCTGCCAATGTCCTTAATCACTCATTCATTTATTTGCTCGACACAAGCATATTGAACCCCTACTATGTTCCGGGCACTGTGCTATGAAAACCCATTGCTGTCGAGTTGATTCTGACTCATAGAGACCCTACAGGACAGAGTAGAACTGCCCCATAGAGTTTCTAAGGCCGTCATCTTTACAGTCTGCCACAACTTTCTCCAGTGGAGCGGTTGGTAGCTTCGAACCGCCGACCTCTCGGTTAGCAACTGATTGCTTAACCACTGTGCCATCAGGGCTCTTTTGTGCTATGAAAGATAGATATATAAGACCGGAACTAGCCTGGGGGTGACAGTTAAGGTTAGTATGGAACTGTGTCCCCAAGAAAGTTAAGTTTGAGCTGAGATCAGAAGGACGAATGGAGTTAACTAGGCCAAGGTGGGTGTTGGAGGGAAGGAAGAGGATGAACCAGTTGGAGGCACAGCATGTACAAAAGCAATTCCTGGTAACTGGCTTGGGGTTCCTGAGTTTCTTTTGGGGAAATTGTTCTCCTACTTTCTCTAGTGGCCAACTCCTTGATCTGGTTGAGGTTGGTTCCTCACTCCTATTTAATTTCTTCTCAAGGTGACTCTGTTTGCTTTATGTCACTCAGAAATTCATTAATTCTACAATTGGACACTTAATGTTTACTAGGTGCCGGGGATATGAAGGGAACAAATAGATAGAAATCACTGCCCTAGTGGAGCTTACATTCTACTGGAGAATAAATAAAATAAAATGTAAAATATGTAATAGGTTCAAAGGTGATAAGTACCAAGAAGAAAAATAGGAAAGGGAATAGGAAATGCCTGGAGGAGTGTTAACATTTTAGGTTGGGTGGCTAAGGCAGGGTTCCATGAAAAGGTAGCATTTGAATAAAACCTGAAGGAGGTGAGGGCACTGAAGGCTGTGGTGAGAACTTTGGCTTTTATTTATTCTGAGTGAAGTGGGAATCACTGGAAGGTCCTGAGCAAAGAAGGGATGCGATCTGACTTAGGTTTTACAAGGTCATCCTGGCTGTTCTTCAGTTTCTGGTCTGTTGGGGCCCCTTCCCTGTGTGCTGAAGCTGCTATGGATGGGCACTTTTGGGCATGATTTTTGCCTAAGGGATGGGGAACACTGGGCTGGGGAGTGTGTGAAGAACGAACGACAAATGGCAGGCAGGGCAGATGAAGAATTGCTGTGCACATGCCCCATCCAACCTGCAGAGACAAGACAGGGTGTCACTGAACACTTCGTCTCTTCTTCTATCAAAACGAGCAAATTCTATCTCTTCTGCCAGTGTCCCCAGGGCTGCCATAATGGCTCTGAGAGTGAGCATTGACTTGCTCTGCGAAATAGAAAACTTCATCACCATCTTCATTCTCAACCCAAGTCTCCTGCAAGCCTTTTGGCCCAGCCAGGGTTTGAGTAGTGGTGCACCAGCAGCTGTATTTCTAGCACTGAGCAGGGCCCCAGGATGCTGGGAAGGGCCACTGACATGGACTTATGGAGCCCAGACCCGCAGCATTCCAGAAGGAGCCTGGAAAGGTCCTGGCTATGAATTCTAGCTCTGGTAGCTTCCTTCCATGGAGCAGGGGAACTCTTCCCCACCTCCCAGAGCCATGAGAGGAAAGGAAGTAACCCACATAGGAGTCTCCCTGAGGCTGCTGTCTGCAAGATGCCTTCCCTCAGGCAGACAGACCAGGCTCCACCTCGCTCCTCTCTTTACAAGCTGTGTGACCCGCGGAAGTCCCTTTCTTCCGAATATCCGTTTCTTCATCTGTAAAATTGTTGGCTGAGGATCACACGAGAGGCTGGGTGAAAGTGCGTGGCAGGAGCGCGTCACCCTCAGCTCACGTGCTGCTCTGGGCTCTCTTGAGCAAGTTGCTCTTCCTCTCTGGGAGTGGGAGTGCAAATACTTCCCAGGATCGCGGCGGATTAAAGGAGTATGTGATGGCCTTGTGGACTGTCAAACATTGTTTAGTCTTCGAGAAGGTGCCCCAGAGACAGGGTGTTACTGGGTGGAGGCGGCGGTCAGCAAACCTGAGGCATGCTTTATGCCCTGGTGGCCGCGCAGCGTGCGCACTTTCCCGAGTGTAACTATTACTGCTCAGGCGAAAAGGACGAATACCGTATTTCTCGGACAACACGTCGACCAGGGCAAGTCCCTACTTCATCTGGCGCTCGAAGGGAGACACAGCGCCCCGTGCCGGCGCAGAGGTGGGCCAGGGGCACACCCGACCGGCCGGCCCCACAGCGCACGCCCCCACGCGTCCTGCACCTGGGGAGATTTCAGGGCTTTCCGCACGCCATGAGGACGGTCTCACGCTCCCGGCTTGATACTTGGCTTTAGAAGCGGCCTCCCAGGGAGCCGGGAGTGCACGGCAGGGGGTGGGCTTCTCGAGAAGGCTGGGAGAGCAGAGGCGGCCTGGGGACCAAGAGACCCTGAGCGGAAGGGGCCGGGGTTCCCGGATTCCGTCCGCCGGGCGACAGGCCACAGCAAGGCTCGCTCGGGGGCCGGGCCGCGGGGGCGGGGCGGGCACGCGTGACGTGACGGCGCGGGCCAATGGGGCACGCGCTTGAGGCCGAGCCTCCTGCGAGCCTTCGCGGCGCCCGCGCGCGTCACGTGACCGGCCCGGGAGTGAGCGCCGAGTGAACGAGCCAGCGAGCAAGTGAGCGGGCGGGCGGGCGAGATCTCCGGCCGCAGCGACCCGCGGGCCAGCGGGCGAACGAGCAAGCTCAGGACTCGGGGCACCGCCCGCTGCCGTCGCCGGACCAGGAGGCCGAGCCGCTGCGCTCACCCAGCCCAGCCCGGCCGGGGCTGCGGGACAGCCGGGGGCCTGGCCGCCCGCCGGGCGTGCGGGAAGTTCAGGTGGGAGAGCGCGCGGCGGGCCGGACGGTCGTGTGGACGCGGCTCCTGGTGCCCAGGGGTCGGGCTGGGACGCAAGGGGGACGCTGGCTGGCTCCTGGACGCGTGGCGGGGCGCCCGCGCGGCTGTCCGAGCTCTGCGCGAGTGTCCAAGGCCATGTCTGAGGGGCGGGTTGAGCCCCCGGGGGTCGGGCGTAGGGGGTCGGATAAGGCGGTGGGAGGATGCCTCCCCCACACAGTGGCACTTTATCCGCGCAGGTCCGGGCCCCTGCCTCGGTGGCCGGCCTCGCATGTCCGTGTGCGCCTTGCGGGCGGCCCTGCCATATGGCGGGCACCCGGGCCGGGCCGGGCCTGGCAGGGGGGCGGGGGAGCGGACGGGGATGGACCCTTGGCGGATGGGGTTACTGCTGGTCACCGCGGCAGTGGCCTGCAGGAGGTGGGGGCGCGGGCGGAGGGTATGGTGCCCAGCAGGCAGAGATTTAGTGCTCCACGGAGGGCGTCCGAGCGCAGTCTCTTCCCACGCACGTCCCCACTCACGCGCCGGCACCCACACGCCGTCTCCACGCGCGAGCCCGTCTCGGACACCTTCCGGAACATCCACACCGGCCACCGCACACCACGCCCCGCGCACGCAGTCACACGACAGAAACTCCCACCCCTTCGCGTACACACCACTCGGGCACACCCGCACCGCTCACCCACACCTCATACTCCGACGCCACGCACAGAGTCCTTTGCCCCCTTAGATCGGACATTAGTAGAGGGGTGACCGAGGGGTGGCAGCGGCAGGGGGAGAAGAGAGGCCACCCTCCTCATATGCTCCATGGCCATCAAGTCAGGTTTCCTTCTTCCCTCCCTACTATGGTGTTCCCCACTGGCCCCCCGGAGGGCACAGAGGGGCCGTTTTCTCGCCCACTCCCTGGGAGGTGACAAAATCCCAAAATGCTTGAGTCCCTCAAACCTCCATTCGGCCTACGGGGAGCCCATGCCACCCTACAGGTGCGAGGACGCTGGGACTTGGTGACTTTGGGGCCTGAAGGCAGCTCGGGGAGTGGAGACTTTTATTTTGAAAAGCAGCCCCGCCCGCCACCCCCCGTGATTTGCACGCTGACCCAATGGCTAGCCCTTGGCCAGCGCTCGGCTTGTTATCAATTACATGTTGTTCCTGCAGCCGCTGTGTCCCCGGGAGGATAAACAGCAGGCCTGGCCCGGCTGGGGGAGGGGGCGGAGTCCGGCGGCCGGCCGAGGACGGTGCCCGGAACAGCGTGTCCCCTCCCCCTGCACGCAGCCTGTGCCTCTGGCTGTGCCACGTGCTGCTGTTTTTTCAGGGCCCGGAGCAGTCTCCCAGCCCAGGCGCCCCTCTGTTTTCAGCCTGCCCTCCCGGACAGTCCCAGGAACCCCTTCTCGGCTCTTAGTGCTTCAGCGTTCCGCCTGGGCCGCTCAGCCCTGCGTTGAGAATGATGCCTGACCAGGATGTCCTTCCCCTCCTTCTCCCCTCCCCCGCAGCAAATACTTGTTAGGCGCTGCTTTACACTCTGAGAGACAGCTCATATTCTGATGGGGGGCGGGGTGGGAGGCAGACAGGAAACAAAGTAGGCAAACACATAACCAGGATAGTTTACCACAGTGTCAACTGCTAGGAAGAATATAATATGGGATGATGTAACAAGGTGGTCAGGGAGGGCCTCCTAGAGTGGGTGACTTCTGAGCTAAGATCTAAATAAGGAGCCCCCATGTAGACAGGGTGATCTCTGCGGAGGGAAGAACACGGCCAGTGGCCTGAGGCCTGAGGGAGCTTGTGAGGTTGCTAGACAGTGAGATGAGATCTGTGGAGAGGTGGACGAGGTGTCGGCCCTGGACACTGTGACCAGCTTGAGTTACCTCTCCTTGGGGAGCCGTTGGAGGTCTTTTCCTCCCACCCCCACTGTACTTGCTTATTTTACCCAGTATTTCTTTTTAGATCATTTTATCTATAAATATCTCAGTTTGTAGCTCTAAAAGGTAAGGCCTCCTTACCTCCACAATACCATCGTCACATTTAAAAATTTTAACAGTGAGTCCTTAATATCATTGAATATCATGGAACAGTGATCACATTGCAGGGAAAGGTTGTAAGCAGGGAGGGCAATAGCCCCATTCGGCCCCTTGCCACCAGTCATGGCCTATTCCTGGATTCCAGGGAGCTGGAGTCCCCTGATTCCTTCACATCGCAGCAGAGGGCCAGAAGACCACGTGTCCCCTATTGAAGGTTAATGGTAGAGGTCTTAGTGGTATTGACTGAGCACTTGCTTATGGGGTCGGCCCTAGCATGTTCATCTCATGGGATTCTCACAGCGTCTGGGACCAGCCACTGTTGGTAGTGTCCCCATTTAACAGAACCAGATGCAGGCACAGAGATGGCATGTGTGCACTGTAAAGGGGTGGCAGGGCCTCTGCACCTCACTGCCGCTTCACATTACCTGCTACTTTCAGTCCTTCCCAGCACCTCATTTGGTGTAGAGTAGGTATTTTAATACTTAGCTGAGCTATTTGAAAATAAAAAGCAAAATGTCCTCTTGGCAAAATTGCCCTCCCTTCCCGTGCAGACGTGCCAAGGGCATCTTCCCTGCCTTTGTCTCCTGGAGCCCCTTGAAGCTTTCTGGATGAGTTGGGAGCTGAGGTCAGAGGTCCTGGGGTCCCAAAGCAGGAGAGGGGTGTAGACATCATTGAGGCATGGTACAGATAAGGAAACTGGGGTTTTGATGGGTACAAGGACTTGCCCAAGGTCACAGCTGCTGATGCTCCGCCCCTGGTTGGATCCCATCCGAGGCCCAGCCTGTTGATAGTTGGGCAGTGCTGGGTGCCAGGCCTGGTGTGGTCCTGAGACAGATAATTGGGTGGGTGCAGAGGGATGCCAAGCAACAGAGGATCTCTGTTCCAGATGCAGAACATCCTCCTTCCCCAACTGCGATAAACAGCAGCCATCGTTCTGGGTGGGGACAAAGGTCCACAGAGGTGGCCCTTTCAGGGCCGGACACTGTTGACTCTCCTTGGACACGGGACCTACTGTGGCCTTCAGCTGAGAGCATGCGGCCTTCCACTCTGCTCCCTCTCAGCCTTATCTGATCCCTCCCGGGCGTCACGCCGGCACTGGGCCGCAGTGGACCTCATGGCCAGCCTGCCGTCATGGTGCCCACAGTCTAGGGGGAGTCAGAGGCGGGCAATCCTTCTGAGGTGGTGAGTGATCCCTGTTGGGGACAGCAGCGGCCATGGGGTATGGGACAGGAAGGTAGGGCATATTACCTCCTACCCCTGCCTGATGTGAAGTCAAATGAGGTAGTATGTGTGGGAGTGTCGTGGAAGCTCAGCCGACTGTCTCCCTGTGAGATCATGGCTCTGTGGGGGTGGCAGCGGTGAAGCATCAGGGCGCAGAGCAGGCTGCAGGTTGAGAGCATCTCGTGCAAGCCCTTTCGTCTCCTCTGCTGTTTCACCCAGGAGGCAGCTGAGGCTTGAAGGGGCCTGAGAACTGGGGCAAGTGAGCTTCTGAGGGCCTCAGGTGTTATCTGGAGCCCGAGAGGGCAGGTACTCATTGGTTGTATTTTTTTTTTTTTAATTGTACTTCAGGTGAAGGCTTACAGAACAAATAGTTTCTCATGAAACAGTAGTACACATACTGTTTTATGACATCAGTTAACAACCCCTCTGGCTGTAATTTTTTTTGCCTCCAAACTAAAGTTTTATTAAAATTCGAATTTCAGATAAAATAATTTTAATATAAGCATGTTCCATTCAATATTTGGGACATACTTAAATTAAAAAATTAATTTTTAGTTGACATTAAAATTTAACTGGGCAGCCAGAATTTTATTTGCTCAGTCTGGCAACTCTACCCAAGCACCAACAACCCTGTGTTGCTGGGGTCAGGGGGCAAATGGCTATTCTCCTACCTCCTCAGTGAATCAACAGGAATGACTCTGAGGTTAGGTGTCTTCAGAAAGGCAGCTGCTCCATTCAACTCAGCTATGGGCTGGCTCCCTAGGATGATTCCTGGCCCCGGCTGCTCCAGGGTCGGTAGAGCTCTTAACATACTCACTTTCTCTCTCACACACACTCAAACTCAGTCATTCATAGACACATAAACTGTTCTTTTCTCAGATCATTCTGGAAAATTTGTTTGAAACCAAAAGTGCCCTGGGTTGTGCAATGGGCTTGGAGAGGGCTCTTTGGCAAACAGGTGGTGCAATTTTGGAAAATGCTCTTGCAGACATAGCCCTCCCGTGGGACGGACAGAGGCAGACTCCAGGCATTTGGCAGTGCGTGGCTGTGGGTTGGCTCCCAGAGCCAACCCAGGCAGCCAGGGGCAGGGTCTGCAGTCCTGAGGCCGCAGGTGAGTGCGGCTTCCTCCTGACTCAGCTTCCCTTATCCCCTCTCTGCAGCCACCACCCGGCACGGCCAGGCCAGCATGGTGGACCACTTGCTTCCAGTGGACGAGAACTTCTCGTCGCCAAAATGCCCAGCCGGTTATCTGGGTGATCGGCTGGCCGGCCGGCGGGCGTACCACATGTTGCCCTCACCACTCTCGGAAGACGACAGCGACTCCTCCAGCTTTTGCTCCTGTGCCAGCCCCGACTCACAAACCCTCTGTTCCTGCTACAGTGGCAATGTGGGCACCAAGGGTCAGGACAGCATCTTGGACTTCCTGCTGTCCCGGGCCACACTGGGTGGCAGCGGCAGCATAGGGGTCAGTAGTGGCCCCATGGCTTGGGGGTCCTGGCGGAAGGCACCAGCACCTGTGAAGGGGGAGCATTTCTGCTTCTCTGAGTTTTCTGCCGGTGACCCTGATGATGTCCTGAGGCCCTTCCAGCCCACCCTTGAGGAGATAGAAGAGTTCCTGGAGGAGAACATGGAGCCGGGAGTCAAGGAGGCACCAGACGGCAGCAGCAAGGACTTTGAGGCCTGTGGCCAGCTCTCAGCTGGGCCACCCAGAAGTCACCTGCATCCTGGGTCTGGTGACAAGGAGCGCTGTACCCCCCCGCCTGGTGGCCCCGGCACCAGCAGTGCCCACAGCCCAGGTGGGGGGCCAGTATCTGAGGGCCCCATCCCGGTGCTGCTACAGATCCAGCCATTGCCGGTCAAGCAGGAGGCCGGCACAGAGCCAGCCTCCCCTGGGCAGCCCCCAGAGAGCGTCAAGGTGGCCCAGCTCCTGGTCAACATCCAGGGGCAGACCTTCGCGCTTGTGCCCCAGGTGGTGCCCTCCTCCAATTTGAACCTTCCCTCCAAGTTTGTACGCATTGCCCCTGTGCCAATCGCTGCCAAGCCCATTGGGTCGGGACCACTGGGACCAGGCCCTGCCGGCCTCCTTGTGGGCCAGAAGTTCTCCAAGAATCCTTCGGCAGAACTCATCAAGATGCACAAATGCACTTTCCCTGGCTGCAGCAAGATGTACACCAAAAGCAGCCACCTCAAGGCCCACCTACGCCGGCACACGGGCGAGAAGCCCTTTGCCTGCACCTGGCCGGGCTGCGGCTGGAGGTCAGTATGGCGGGGCTGGGGCGGGAGTGAGGCCCAACTCATATCTGCACACTGGGGTTTCAATGAATGGCATGTCCTCCAGTGTTAGATAAGGGGCTGATCAGAGAGTGGAGAGGGAAGGGGCCAGGTGGGCACATGGGCAGGACCAGAGCTTGGCACAGCTTCCCAGAGGTTCTTTTGTCCCTCCTGATTCCTAAAGCCACAACCAAGTGGTTTCTAGTTTCATAATGACCAGGTAAGACTTGCTGTGGCTTGTGATGCCTACTGGCCTCTGAAGCTAAGAAAGGGAGCTGGTTGGATGAGGGTGAGGGCTGGGTGACTGGGCCACAGCAGAGCAGCACTAATAGTAGGCTGTGCAGCAGACAGGGGTAAGTGCTATGTGCCTCTTCTGACCCTCACAGCACCACAAGGATAAGTGCCACATTACTTCCATTTGATAGCTGAGGAGACTGAAGCTCAGGCTGGCGACGTCACTTGCCCCAGGTTACTCAGTGTTGTAAATGGATTAGAGAGGCCACTGGACATGCTGCTTCCCCAGGAAGAGGGAGCAGCTCTACTCCACAGATGTTTTTGGGCATGTCGGTAGCCCAGGTTCGAGTCCCTGCCCAGCCTTTGTTCCCTCCCACCAGTCCCTAGGCCCTCTCAGTGTGTTTGCGAAGCTGCAGGGGCAAATAAACAAGGAAGGTCAGGCTGGCGGCAACACTGTCTTGAAGGTGGAAGGATCCTTCCAAGGTCCTCTACTCTGCATTGCCCAGAAGGGAAAATCAGCTTCAACCCTACCCAGACCGTGGGGCAGAGCCAGATGGGACCCCATGGGTCCCCCTTCCCTCTTCCAGAGGGCATGCCGACTACTTCCTGGATCACAGGTGGCCTGCAAGGAGCCCATGTGCCTGGGTGCCCCAGCAGGTGCTTCCCAATTTGGGACATCCACCTGCAGACATCTGCCCAGGAAGGCAGCATGTGCTGCTGGCACATTCCTGGGCTTTGGTGCTGTGGTTATTGCTGTGGCTGCACCATGTGTGATTGTGTGTGTGTGTACGAGAGAGAGAGAGATGGAGGAGGGTCCTGCTCATCTGTGTATTCATATGTTTTTCATGTATATCCCTGTGTGCCGTGCGACCTTCCATGTCTGTACGCAGGCACATCCCGTGCGTTTGTGCACCTATGTGTGGTGTCTGCGCGGGCAGCAGTCTCGAGTGTGCATGCGGGTGCATGCATACACGGGGAAACAGTTGGCCACTTTTGTTTCCTTGACGAGAATGTTCTGGTCTGAGAGCCTGGGAGAGGTGACTGGTCACAGGAGTCTTTGCTGGCCGAGGCTGGGCAGGGACAGGGATGCTGTGAGTAGAAAGTCCAGTGTGATGCTGGCAGCCTCTTCCTGTCTGAGCTCCGAGCTGGTCAGAGGAAGGACTTTCCCCAGTGTTCTGGGTTATATTGAAGCCCCTCCTGAGCGAGGGACCATTGCTTTCACTGCACCTAAAGCCTATCCACGCAGGGAGACCTGGCAGGCTTCCATGGGAGCCCATGCCCCAGCCTCTGTGAGCCTTAGTGCTTGTCTGCTGAGTGGTTGGCCCTGGTGGAGGTGCCCCACAGGGCTCCTTGTGAAGGCCAGGTGAGGCGATGGTAGGCAGTGTTGGGTGGTCAGGGCCGTGGGAGTTCAGGAGACAAGAGACCTGGGCAGGGCCTCTGGCCTCCACCTGCCCCTGCCCCCTCCTCCTCCTTGAGGAGGAGGCCCTCCAGCAGCAGGCCCCCTATTCCTGGAGGGCGGGAGTGAGGAAGAGACCTGGGAGACCTTCCAGACTCCTGGCCTCCCCGCCAATACTTGCCTCTTTGGGGAGTCATTGATCCATTTATCTAGTATGTGCTGGGTCTCTGCCCAGTGCCAAGCCTGATCCCAGCCCTTGGGAGACAGAACTGCCTTCATGGGACTTATGTTCCATTGGGGAGACAGCTAGCCACTTGCTTAATTAGATGCTTTCAGATACAGGGTGATGTGATGCACAGATGGGTGAGGGGCTTCTAAAGGGAAGAGTGGCCAGGGAAGGCCTGTCTGAGGAGGGGGCAGCATTGAGCCAGGCCCCGGGAGCCCAGGGCCCAGGCAAGAGGTGGCAGGACTTGACTTTCCCCACCCCTAAGTGTATCCTTGGGTAGGTTCCCTGCCTCAGAGCATCATGACACCTTGGTGCTGGGAGCCACTAGAGGCTGCTGAGGGCTACTGGGGGCAGTAGTTAGGAGTCCCAGCCCCATACTGGCCACCAGCTTGCAGTGTGCTCTCAGGGCGGTCCCTCTGGTGGAGCCTCAGTTTCCTCATGTGTAAAGCAGAGAGCCTGCCTCCCTCCCTCAGGCTGAGACCTTGAGATCCACCTGCCCACCACAGCCCAGGGTGGGTGTACAGGGGCACCCTTTCCCACTGCTCATACAAAGTCAGTGTCCGGGAGGGGACCCGGAGCATTTTCTGCTCGGCCTTATGTGGGCCAGTCCCCACCTAAGGTGGCGTCTGCGCCCCAGACTACAGCGACCCTGAATGTAGTCTTCTCCTTTGGTGGGGCGGGGTAGGGGCAGAGCGAGAGGTCTGGGCAGCTGGCTCTGCAGCTTCCCTCCAGAGCATCTGCGCCTAGACTCATATGCCCAGGCTCACCTGCAAGGCACTGTCCCGTTGATGTTGCAACCATCAGCGAGTGGCTCCTAAGGTCGGGGTGAGGCTAGGAGCAGCTCCTGGTCACAGGGAGGAAGTGTGTGGCCCTGGACCCAGACAGCCCACCCTGCTCAGCCTTGCCATCCAGGTGCGGCCCCCCAGGGAGGAGGGGGGCCTCCTTTCTTCAGGGCTGCCCCAGTGCCAGAGAGCAGACAGAACCCTCAGTACCACACCAGGGGCCTAAGGAGGTTATGACCTCCCCATGGCAGGTGTGCAAGTAAGGGTGAGGATGTGTGGAGGGAGTTCCAGATCTGACCCCACCAAGCCCCCACGATGGTCTTCTTGCTCAGGACCCATTGGGTAGGGAGGGTGTGTGGGTGCCAGGCCTGGTGAGATCACTGCAGAGCTATGCCAGGCTGCTGCCCCTGCCACGACCCTCCTAGGGCTCCTGCAGGGCATCTCTAGCTTCTCCCAGGGTCCTCCTGGAGCTAAGTTGCCCTTGGTCAGTCCCACCAGGATGCTTGTTTCTCTGAGGGTGGGGGGTCCCTGGTTGGCCTTCATCCCTGAACCTCTGGGAAGTACTCAAGATGTGTGCTCCTTAAATGTGGCCATAGCTGTCAGCAGCCTGTCAGTGGGTGGAGGGGTCTTTGAGCAGGAGTCGGGTGGGAGGACAGGTGAAGCAATGCTGCTGATGATAAGAAGCCATACTTCCTGAGCACTTACTGTATACTAGGCACTGTTCGCAGTTCCTCAGAGCTGAACTCGCTCCACTCATCCCTACTCTTGCTTGCATACCTCCTGCCATGAGGAGGTCATTACCTCCTGAGGCCACTCTGGCTAAAGTACACTTAAGTTCATACCCAAACTTCTCATCTGGCCCCAAAGGTCTGCATGATCTGCTCTCCTGCCTCTGCCCCTTCCTGATGGGACTCAGCCACACCAGCCTTGGCCTCAGCCTCTGCCCCCTTTCTGTGTCTGGGCTGCTTTCCCTGGTGACACTGTAGTTATGCTGCTGTCACTGCTCTTGTGATGGCCCTGGCCGTTTTCTGCACATACCACACTCATTGGCTCATCACATTCTCACAGCAGCCTCGTGCACCGCAGGCACTTGTCTCTGTTTTACAGGGGAAACCAAGGCACAGAAGTAGCAAGTCTCCTGCTCCCAGGGATGTGGTTCTGGGGCCAGACGCAGGCAGGATGCACAGCCCTGCTCACACCCACCAGCAGCACTACCACAGGCCTCGCCGCCTGGAACCCAGGGGCTGTGGTTCTCCCTTTGTGCCTGTAGTCGTGCTGGCTGGCTCTGTCCTCTCTTGCCCATGAGCTGTCTGGGGTTGTGCTTATGGGCCACTGGGAAAGAGGATAACTGATGATAACAGTGGCTCCTTACACGTGCTCGGCACTGCTTAGAACACACTACGTACATGGACTCACTTAATTCTGAAAATAAGTCTGCGACGTAGGCGGCAGTGTTGTTATCCCCATTTTACAGAGAAGGAAGTTGAGGCGGGGAGAAGTTAATGCTTTCTCCCCGGACACAGGGCCCTCTCTCCAGCCTCCTCTCCCACTGGGTGGCTCGCTTTGGTGTGGACGTGGGAAGACCTTCACCTCTACCTGTCGCTGGGCCTAGATCTCAGGGCAGCAACCCTGCATGTTCTCCTGCCCCCCAAAGGGAGCTCTCCACCTTCCCAGGCCTCCCTCTTCCCGGGTGGCCCTGGTAGGTGATGTGCCCCTCCTCATAGCAGGCTGGCTCGGTCCTCGCACTGTGCCCTGGGCTTGCAGAACGAGCTCCTCTACCCAGCCCCAACTTGTACACCTTTGTGTGATGCAGTCCCTCCCTCCTTCCCCCACAGTCGTCACTTGCCCATCAGCCCCCACTTCCTTCTCTGTGGGCCTGGGCCCAGAATTCCCTGCCCCTTCCTCTCTTGTGGTGTGATCCTGGCACCCTCGATGGGTGGACACCAGACATGCTCAGTGCGATCTCACCATCTGGGAAGTGGCTGCATGCCTGCCTTCCTAGAAGTTCCCTCGCTTCACTCTCAGACATAGGTCTCCTTTGTTCCCTGCGGCAGAACGTCCTGTTCTGGAATAGCTAGGCCACTCCGTCCAAAAAGAATCCCCTGTGATCACAGCGACTATTAATATTAGTAACGGTCAGCAGTCCTGTGTGGTAGGTACTGTTGGCATCCACAGTTGACAGGGGGCCCAGGAAAGGGGGTTGTAGGCCTGAGCCCACAGAGCAGGGAGTGGCAGGCACAGGACTCACACCCTGCCATCTGTCTCCTGCGCTGGTGTTACTGCTGCCTCCATGTGAGGAGGTGAGCTGCCAAGCGTGGTGGGTTGTAGACTGCAAAACCCTAGGGGTGCCAGCCACATTGTAGTCCTTGGGGCTGGAATATCTTTAATAATGGCTCTCTGGCCAGTGGCAGAGTAGGGTCTCGAGGAAGGGGCACCTGCATTTCACACAAAGGTGCTGTGTGAGCTAGTGGTGCTGGCGTCTGAGCTGCTCGGGTTATGAGGACTCCTGGGCTGCCTCTGCCCCGCAACCTGACTACGAGAGTTGAGAATCGTGGTGAGGCCCACAACCCAAACCAAAAACCAGATCCATTGCCGTTGAGTTGATTCCGACTCATAGCGACCCTACAGGACAGAGTATAACTGCCCCATAGGGTTTCCAAGGCTGTAAATTTTTTTTTTAATTCTGTTGTGCTATAGGTGAAACTTTACAGTGCAAATCAGTTTCTCATTCAAAAATTTATACACAAGTTATTTTGTGATGTTGGTTGCAATCCCTGCATTGTGTCAGTACTCTCCCCCTTTCTCTTTCCACGCCGGCTTCCCTGTGTCCTTTTGTCCAGTTTTCTGTCCCTTCCTGCCTTCTTGTTTTTGCTTTTGGACAGGTGCAGGCTGTAAATCTTTACAGAAGCAAACTGCCACATTCTCACTCCCACGGAGCAGCTGGTGGGTTCGAACTGCCAACCTTTCAATTAGCAGCCGAGTGCTTTAAGCACTGTGCCACCAGGGCTCCTAAGGCCCACACCCACCAGTACTTTACCAGGCACCAGGCTCTGTGCTGACTTCTTGCAAAATAATATGAGCTCACAGTGAACAATTACTATGTGTCAAGTACTTTTCTAAATACTTTACTCCTTACCTTTTATAATTCTCATAGTCTGATAAGGTAGGTCTATCATTCTCCCTGTTTTCTGGTGGGGACACTGAGACTCAGAGAGCTTAGTGACTTGCCCAGGTCACCTGGTCCGTAGGGGTCAGAGCTTACTGCCTCCAGAAGCTGCCTCTTAACCACCTGATCCAACTTCTCCCCAATTGTGCCCCTCCTCGACCTCTCTGGTGGCTGCTCTTTGTGACGGTGTGATGTCAGGTGTGAGGTAGGGGTCTTCTGAGTGCTCTGTTCCCTGGGACAGTCCCTCGGGTCATAGGATGTGCCATCATGGGGGGGAGGGGGCTGGAAGTGAGGACAGCTTGTCCTCTGGCTTGGCTCTCCCTCAGTTGCCTGTCCTTCCCAGGTATCACCACGACAAGAGGACATGCTATGGCCCTGTGTAAGTCCTAGAGGGCAGGCCAGGCTCCCCAGCTATTCGCTGGGCGGACAAGGATACTGAGGTGCAGAGCAGTTTGATGGTTTGCCCAGGAGCACAGAGGGCTCCTGGTGGTGGGGGGACTCTAATCCCACAGGCCAGGGGCTGAGCCTTGCTGCTCTGCTGGCCTCGTGACCCCAGATAGGCCCCTTGACCTGAGTCCTTGCCCTGGTCTTGTCAGCCAGATGGGCTGATCTTGGCTACCTGGCCAAGAAGGTGCCAGGTGACCCCCAGGAGGGTTCCAGCATTGCCAGGGCATTGCTTCTGTTGCTTTCTGCTTGCCCCCGCCCTGGGCAGGCCATCTGCTGACTGCCAGGGTGTATTTCATTTCCTCACCAGTACGGGTGCCAGGGGCACATAGCGCAGGGAGGCCAGGAGGGCAACCGCTGGTTGGGAGTGCAGGCCCTCAGGCATGGCAGGGGGCTGCTGTGAGTGCTTTGTTCCTGGCTCAGCTATACTGTTTCACTAGATGACCCTGGATCAGGCCCTTACCACTCTGGGCTTCAGTTTCCTCGTCTCACAAATGGGCCAGTTGGGCCTCATTGATTCAAAAAATATGCATGGGAGCACTGACTCCATGCCAGGCACTGACCAGCACTTTGGAGTGTGAATTGAACTCCTGCCTCCAAGTCCAGAAGCGTTATCCACTCTCTGGGAGAAAGGCTGGTGCTCTCAGGGACAGTGGGGTGCAGTCTGAGGTGTTTCTCCTTTCTGCATCCAGGCCAGGCTCCCAGTCTGGTCCTTGGGCCCCTGCTTGCGCCCACCTGAACCTTCCCTACTGGGTCCTCCCTGCTCATGCCAGGCTGGGAGTCACAGCCTAACACCCACAGCAGCAGGCCCGAGGGGGGCCACCAGCCCTCACCCATCAGCAGGGCCAAGATTGCTGTTCTGGGGGTACCACCTAACCTGCCTCTTGCCTTGTGGCCCTGGGTTCCGGGAACGGAGTGTGTGTGTATGTGTGTGTGTGTGTGTGTGTGTGTGTGTGTGTGTGTGTGTGTGTATGCGTGTGAGTGAAACTCAAGAGGGCAGCCCCTGTGCGTGCCGTCTGAACTCCTGGAGGTACTTGCTGTGTCCACTCGCTCTCACTGAAATACACTCATGGAACACCTACTGTACACTAGGCACTGGCCAGTCCTTGGAGACCTCAGGGAACAGGACACAGTGGTCTGCCCTCGTGGAGCGGATGGTCTGGTGGGAGATACTGATGTTCATCAAAAAGTTACACAAACTAACTTAAAATGGCCCCAGTGGCAAAGGCAGGAAAGAAAGGTGCATAGTGCTGTGGGAACCTAGAGTAGAAGTACAATCATGGTGGACATCCTTGAGGAAGTGACATTTGAGCTTAGCTCCAAAGGATGGGCAGGAGGGAGCAAGGAGAAGAGGGATGGGAAGAGCATTCCAAATAGGGGGAACAGTATTTGCAAATGTCTTTTGTCCAGAGGGACCTAGGAAATGTTGATGTAGGTAGACCACAGAGGACAAGCATGTGTGTGTCTGTGTGTATAGGAGGGGGGTACGGTCTTCCTGCCAGGACAGGGATCATGGTGTGGAGAAAGCCTCAAGTCACTGAAGTTGGTGGAAAGCGGTCTGAGCCTCTTGGCCCGCCTGACTTTCAGCTCCCCCATGAGCAAGTCCTCCTGCCTGGCAGCCTCCAGGCCCTGGAGCCCTTGTTCCCAGGCAGGCAGAGGCTGAGAAAGATGTCATGGGCACCATCTAAACTGGTAAACGTACCTCCTTTGCGGACATGTGTTGTTGTTTGGGGTCATCTTAGGGGCCCAGCTGCCTGGAAACCTGGGTCCAAGAGTGAGGTGGGAGGCTCAAGAGTGAGGACCCCTCCCCCCCTAGTGGAAGCAAAAGAGAGGAGACAGGAACACCAGGCGGTGCTGGGGAGGGAGTCTCCTTCCTCTCCCTCAGCCTGTTTCCCCTTCTGGGTGGGCTTCCCCAGGTGTCCGAGTTCTGGAAGTGGGGGTGGGAGTGAGGCAGAGGAGTGAGGAGATGCGGCTGCAGTCCGGGCCCGAGTGACCGAACACATCCTTGCCCTCAGCCCCCACTATAAACCGGTGGGCCGCTGAAGGGCAAGTCTCAGTCTCTCTGGCCTTGAGATTTGGCCCAGACTATTTAACAGCCGCCCAGCCAGCCTGGGGCGTGCCAGCATGAACCTTGTATTACACATTCTTACCACCTTGGAGAGTGGCAGGGAGGTGACTTCACCAGTGAACACTGGCCCGGCTGCGCCTTGCAGGTGGCGTAGCCTGACTCCCCCGGGCCTTCCTTGTCGTGGGGCTGGCCTCGGGGTCGGAGGCGCAGTAGCCCCCGCCGCCTCGCTGAGCGCTGTGTCCCGCAGGTTCTCGCGGTCTGACGAGTTGTCGCGGCACCGGCGCTCGCACTCGGGCGTGAAGCCGTACCAGTGCCCCGTGTGCGAGAAGAAGTTTGCCCGCAGCGATCACCTCTCCAAGCACATCAAAGTGCACCGCTTCCCGCGCAGCAGCCGCGCCGGGCGCGCGGCGAACTGAGCCGCCCGCGCCCCAGCCCCGCGCCCACCCGGGTGTTTTATAGCAATAATTTATTTGTCTCCTTCCGAGAGACGTGACAGCATCATCACCCCCTTGTCGAAGTTGGGAGGTACAAGAGGACCGGGCAGCCCGGCTGTGGACCCAGAGCCCCCGCGGCCGCCGTTCCGGGGCCTTCGCGGAAGGGCGGGCTCACAGGCGCCCCGGACTCAGGCCTCCGAGAGCTCCTCGGCCGGCCTTTGCTGCTGGCGGCCGAGGCAGGGCTTTGAGGGCCTGGCACTTCTCCCACTGGGGTCCTTGCCTGGGCCTAGGCCAGCACTCTATTGCTGGGTAAGAAGAAATGTGCAGTTTTGAAATGTTCAATTCCCAGAGGGAGCCATGCTGGGAACAAAGAAGTAGGCCAAAAGTCCGACTGCACGGTGCTGTGAGGGCGGCCGTGTCCAAGGTGCCTGGCCCAGCCTGATCACCAGGGCCGACGGGCAGGGCAGCTGGGGATGCGCTGGCGCTAGCCAGCGCAATCGCTTGAGTTAAATGCGCGGGACAGACAGACAGACAGACACAGTTTCTGTCAGGAGTCTGTGCGGAGCTGGCTCATCCCCTCCCGAGGTTCCCAGAGAGTTCCACACGCCCAGCCTCTCGGTCACTTCCGGGGAGAGAGGGGGCAGGCTGCACTGTGTGTGAAGGCACTAGGTAGAGCCTCCCGATCCTGATTTAGAAATGCATTCCTTATTTGGTTTAGAAATTAATATCAAATAAACTAGCTTGTTTGGACTGGTTTATTTCACATCCTATGAATGTTATGTAAATAGACTGTACATAGATGCATCTGCATAAAATATCTTTTAATAACATCAACATTTGTGTAAATTTGAAATTTAAAAAATCTATAAAGGTGGTGTACATATGTTACAATTCTGTATATTTTCTTTGGTCCTTCATAAAAATATATTTACTTTGCCAATAAAAAGAAAAAAAGAACTCAATAGCTTTCAGTATGTGCTTTTTTCTTTGCTCTGCCAGGATGTGGGGACAATGCTGGGAGCTGAGACCTTGTTCCTGCGTTTTGCAGAGTCCAGGGTCCTTGTTTTGCACTCCATTAGGTCTAGGAGTTCACTTGCCTTGTTCCGGCCAGGCAGGTCCCCAAGCAGCTCCACCTCCGTGGGTTTTTCCTCATTCTGACTGCTGGAGGTCTGTCTGAGTGACCCACACCCAGCTCACATGCAGGGTGCACAGCAGATGCCTGATGGACTGGACGGTGAGCAAAGAGTGCCAGGTGAGTGTCTCAAGTAGGAGTCAGAGGAGTAGGTGACTCCTATGGGACTGGCCTGGTGGCTTCCCAAAGCTGATACTGGGATAGTGATGGGATTTGGGTTTATGGAGAAAAGAGGAAAGAAAGCTCCAGGTTGGGGCTGGCTCATGTCTGACTGAACTTCTTCTAGGAAGCAGACATGCTCTTCCCTACTGGCATGGTGGTGTGACTGCAGCAGGGATTCAATAGGCTGTACAAGGGAGCTAGGCCTCTCTTTCTCCTCCCCAGTTCCTCTAAGCCATGAGGAGACAAAGCCTCCTTAACTTCCTGTAATTCTTAGAGCCTCTGATGGGTGGGCTCCCATTTGAGGTTTTGGCCCATCCACATATCCCCTGCAGGTTGGAGGGGCAGGGGCAGTGGAAGCCAGAGAACCAGAAGAGAAAGTGTGCTTGGGAGGGAATGGCCAGAAGTGAGGTGGACGCTGGCCAGGGTGGAGCTGACTCAGCAGCACAGCCGATGTCAGAACGCCCCCATTCACCCACCCATGTGAGTGAGAGATAAGAACCTTCTAGAGGAGGCCTTTTCCCAAGGACCCAAGCACGTATGATGTGGGGGGCCCTTCTCTTTTAAAGAAGCTGGGCAAGTGTTTCTCAGTGAGGGCCTGGCTGTCTGCAGGCAGATGGTGGAGCACCTGTGGATTTCCAGTGGAGAGGTTCTAAGGGGGAGTGTAGCTGCTGGTCTTGGAGGGTGGAGACCATTGTTGCAGCTGTCTTGGGAACAGACTGACAGAGTCATCTGTCCATCTGTCCAGTGAAACCTGGCAGAGCCTGAGCTTTTGTGTGTGTCCAGCAACTGCACGGGTGATCAGAGAGTGGGACATCCCATCCTGACTGGCCCTGGTTGTGGGGAAAGAACTCAGCCTTGTGACTTCTGCCCTTGGCTCCTGACTGGATGTCTAAAGATGCTGTGGGGAAGTGAGGCATTGATTTCCGGATGCGTTAACTCAGCTTTTCAGGATCTATAAAGACGCACTGCAGGCCCAGATAAGAAGGGCATATGAAGGACGAGGGTGGAGGGTAACTTGGTCAAGCCAGGTTCTACTGCAGGAGGAGTAACCCCATGTGCACACTTACCTGCTGCGCAGGAGCCAGCCTGGGGGCATGGCTCTCCTATCTCAGTTCCTGCCAACAGCTTGCTTGCTCTCACCCCACAGCCCTTCACTCATTTCCTGTTGGGGCAGCCGTGGGCTGGCAGTCTCAGGCAGGGCTTGTGAGGGGGTGATCTAACTCAGGACCCCAAACTCCTCACCTGAACGGGGTATTCAGCACACTACTGTGCATCTACTCTGTAGTGCACACCCATTGTGGTCCATGCTTTGGGGCAGCCCAGCTGAGAGGGCCTGTTGGGGCAGCAACTTGGAGTGAGAGCAAGGGTGGAGTCCTAGCTCCACCACTATGGGAGACGTCTTAAACCTGTTTGCATTTCAGCTTCTGCACCCTGCAAAGTGAGTGTCAAAATCCCCTATTTGCAAGATGGTGGTGAGTGGCAAGTCTGTATAGTAGACATAAATTTGAATAACAACAAGGGATCTTCCCAGGTGAGTTTGCCTCTCCTACTAAGTGGAGAATGTGGAGAACCCCTTTGTCTCTACCGCAGCCAGCACCTGCTCCAGCACCTCGCAGCCTGGGGCTGATGCAAGATCAGGAGTTCTGCTGGTGAGCCTGGCTTGTTCCCATGCCACCACCTTTCGCACCCTCAGTGAGTTCTGTGGCTGGAAAAGGAGCGTTTGTCTTAACGTGTGAGCTGAGAAAGCAGATGGAGACATGAGCCAATGTGCCCCACAATTGTTTGTAACAGGATGAATCTGGAAGGTTCCAGAGCAGAAAATCTAGCCATGACACCCGCCCCCCAACCCTCTCCGCTGCATCATACCCATCCTCCAAGGCACTCAGAGTTGGGGAGGGAAGTGCTATTTATTGAGCATTGTACCAGAAAGAGTATGAGTTAGTATGTTATAACAAAGAAACTCCCAAATACCGTGACTTGCATTTCTCTATGTGAACAGCCTGAAGGTAAGTGGTCAGAGCTGATATGGTGACTATAGTGGTTGTTGGTCACAGATGGCTCACCAGAGTACCACATCAGCAGTGGAGAGCAGGTAGGGCAGTGGGGCTGCCCCTCCCTTTAAGGGCACATCCCTTCTACTCCCATTGCTCAGAATGTCATCATGTGGCCTCATCTAACTGCAAGGGAAGCTGGGAAATGTAGTCTTAATCTGGGATTATGTACAGCTAAAATTGGGGCCTCTATGTGGCGCAGTGGTTAAGAGCTATGGCTGCTAACCAAAAGGTCAGCAGTTCAAATCCACTAGCCACTCCTTGGAAACCCTATGGGGCAGTTCTACTCTGTCGTATAGGGTCGCTATGAGTTGGAATGTACTCTATGGCAATGGCTTTTTTTTGGTATTACTGTAGAAAAAAGAAGCCCTGGTGGCAAGGTGATTAAAGCACTTGGCTGGTTGGAGGTTTGAACCCACCAGCCTCTCCGTGGGAGAAAGATGTGGCAGTTTGCTTCCGTAGAGATTACAGCCTTGGAAACCCTACAGGGCAGTTCTACCCTGTCCTATAGTGTTGCTATGAGTCGGAAGCGACGCCATGGCAACAGGTTTGGTTTTAGTTTATTATCGTAGAAGGATCCTTGGTGTCGCAGTGGTTAAAGCACTCGACTGCTAACTGAAAGGTTGGCAGTTTGAACCCACCAACCACTCCAGGAGAAAGATGTGGCAGTCTTCTGTGGTAAAGATTACAGCCTTGGGAACCCTATGGGACAGTTCTAATCTGTCCTGTAGGGTCACTATGAGTTGGAATTGGCTTGACAGTAACAGGTATGTAGAAGGAGAGTAGATGTTGAGGCCTCAGTGATTTTCGCTGCAAGCACAAGTCTGCACACAGCACGTTGCTTCCTTTGCACAAAAGCCCTGGCAGAATGGTGTACGTGCAGGATGGTAGGGGGCCAAGTGGGCTTAGCTCGCCCCAGGGCCCTGTCCACAAACTCAGAACAGGGTGGTCAGGCCTCCAAGGACAACAAATTACCGTTCAGGAAAATATTGTGGGAACAGGGCTGTAGAGGCAACAGGGAAAAAGCCAGGGGCCCAGTGTATAAGACAGGATGCTATGCTGGACAAATGACAAAATCCCAACTCATACTGACAGAAGTAAAAAACAAAACAAAATAAAAAACAACTTTTATAATGTCTCCGTTGTCGACTCCTGAACAGGACCCAGAATCTACACATGTGTCTTGGGAGATAGGGGGAACAGAGGCAACAAGGCCCTGGGATCAGGGCTTCAAGAGAATTGTAGCGTTTCTTATACTTCATCAAAGGCCTAGGCAGTGGGGAACGGCTGAAATACAGGGAGTAGAACCTGCTAGAAACTGGGAATTAGGCTGAGTGCTGGCATATTGACCTGCACAGCTGTAGATGGGAGAAGGAGATTTGAACAGGAGTGGTGACAAGACTGGTTCTGTCTATGACAAACACAAAGTCGGAATAAATCTTGCTTTACTTGAGGATTGGCAACAACTAATAGTATGGGACCTATTGAAAGTACTGCAGAACAAGGTAAAAGGAGCCTAAAAGACTGAAAGAAAGTGCAAACCTCCATGATGCACTGCAGGATCCAGAAGGGCATTTCAGGAAATTTCCTACTATCCTCAATAAGTTAAAAAAAAAAAAAAAAAAAAAAAAAGTCGTGGCTACTGGGAAGACCAGGCTGAAAAAGAAGAGGAACAGGATAGGGTAAAAACAGAGATGGAAGAGATAAGATTGCAAGGAAACAAAAAATGCAACAGCAGA